CATGGCTAGGTATGACCATAGACCTTTATGAAATTTTCAAAATCAAGCCTATTTCCTTTCTCTGGTTGGCTCTGATTTGAGATTCAGAAAGAAAAATTTTGCTTAAAATATATCAGTGTAGTGACAACAGTTGCATTGAAAATGCCCATCTCAATATATGGTACCTCTTCCCATCCAGTGTTGAAACTGGAAACCTGGGAGGTGGATGTCCTTGTTTCTGCAGTGTCCTCATTCTCCTCTCCTCACTCATTCTGGCACCAAAAGACCTCTGATTTCACTGTTATTCTCCATTGTCAATACTTCTACCCTAGCATAAACCAGCCTGGTCCCTCACCTGGACTGCAACAACACTCTCCTGACTGGTCTTCCTGCTTTCACTTCTGTCCCCTTCAGTTAATTCACCACCTAGAAGCCAGAACAAATTTTCTGGAAATTAGATCATGACATGTCCCTACTTTAAGTCCATTAGTGGATCTCCCCTACCCCTACCCCCACCCTTGAATTTAGAATGAAGCCCAAACTCCTCACAGTGGTCTACAGGGTCCTTGCATTATCTGATATCCATGTTCATTGCTGGTTGCCCCACTCCCTTGCTGTATCACGCTAGACTTCTCTCTTTTATTCAGACATTCCAAGCTCATTTTTGCCTTGGGGACGTAGCATATGTTCTTTTGGTATAATGGAATGTTTTCCCAGAGACCTTTCCTTATCACTTCTCTAAAGAACATTATTGTATGCTATTATCAATCTATTATGATTATTTAAATCTGCCTACATGATTGCACACATACACCTAGATACATAATCAAGTATAAATGCTTATCTGTTATAGCTGCCAGAATTTGGCACATAGTAAGTGATCAGTATTTATTCTTTGGATAAGTGAATAAATTTATTTCAGGTAGTCACTCAGGAAGGCCTAGTCTGGACATTTTGTCATGGGTCTAGTAGGTGGTTCGCCATCTGTTTGTGTTCTTAGTTTGCATTGTGTTACTTTAATAGATGTGAAAATGTATCTTTTCTGCATATACTTGTCTTTGGGCGAGTTTCTCACCTAGACAAATGAGGTGAAAGACAATCACATTAGATGCAAATCTGATCCTGTGCCATAACTAGTTCAGAAGTGAATTTATTCTCTTGCCCCAAGTCTTCTGGGAGGTAAACGAGACTCGTGAAGAGGCAAATAAATTGACTTTAATTTGAACGCTATATAAACACTGCCTTTCTCCTGGACAATTCTGGGCTCTAACCAGGTAAAAGACAACATCATAGCTAATTAGCATGCTCACAGAAAACAAAAGATATGTTTTAAACTTTTCCAGACACAGTATAGCTTCCAAAACCCAGAGTGCCAACACAATATCAAGTACAGAATGCATCTTCAAATTAAGTTTATTTTCATAATTGAACTTGAGAAGAGATATAAAATGAGGTTCAATTTTATTAGCAGGAAATCAAAGAAGCTTCTAGGGTGTTGTGTATTTAATCCATCAGTTAGAATATGCCAGTTAGTGATAGTTTAGTAGTGAGGAAATGTTTAGAGCATGCTCTCCAAGTGTTGTTTTACTTCTATTTTCCACATTTCAGGGAAAAAAGTTAGGTGACATGTAAAAGGGCCGTAGGGGTGAGGTTTGACTGAGAGGCAGTTTTGCCAAACTCATTTCAGATTGTGTCTGTCGTTTTGTGTTAAATTGGACCTAAATGAGTCATTTACTGGGGAGGTGTGAAAAAGTGTTATAATTTGAAAAGTGATCCAAATGTTTCCACTAAGTTTCATTTGTACACTATGGTGTGGTGTGACTTCCTTTCAGTAAGCTTAAGGAATTCAGATCCTCCATGTCAGGAGATGGTTCTGAGACAAGATATCTGAAGGGTCTTAGAAACCCATGTCACAGTATGCAGAATCTATGTGTGTGCATGTATGTGTATGTGTGTGTTTGTGGTAAAGCACATGTGTCTTTTTTATGAGAGAAAGGTCTAGCTATTTTGTTAGACTCTCAGTTGGGCAGGGTTGTCAGAAAGATACTTGTTTGCAGTTCAGGAAAAGGGGTTGAGTGGGAAAGGTTCCAATTAGGTATCAAAGGAAAATAGCCCAAGAAGAGCCATATAGTCATAGCCTTCCTACTTTGGGGAAAATGGGACAGGGACTGCAGTATAACCCCAAAAATGAAGATGAGGTTGAACACTTGATTCAGGTAATCCCACCATGTGCTCACTCTGCCTTTCCCGGGGGAGGCTTTGCAAACAGTGGTCTCCACATAAAGGACTGGTGAGCTAGTGCTCCAAAGGATAGAGACTTGCTTTAAATGGGAGGTGAATTCAGCCTTGACCAGCTGTCCTTGAACCTGGCATCTGCTACTCACTTGAGGAACCAAGAGAGAATAGGCACACATTTGAAGGGAGTCATGCAACTTTCAGGGTAAGCTCAAGTTTTTTATTCACTGGGTTATTTGCTTTTACATTTAAAATATCATTTTCCCCCTTGAAAGTTGAACAGAAATAAGACACTAACAAAATCTGAAAATAGAAATTAACAGTCTTCAGTAATACTATTTACCAAGGTTAATTTCAAAATGAAAATAGCTTCAACTTTTGCCTTGATTATAAAAACATACTGTGTGCATTCTAAAAATAAAATGTAGGCAATCACAGAAGTACAAAGATAAGAGTAAGAAAAACTTATAATCCAACTTTTTTTTTAAAAAAAAAGTATACTAACATATGTATACATCAAAAATAGGCTGATACTGTGCATGCTCGTTCATAACTGGGACCCCTTTCCAAGACCACGTGGAAGAGAAAAACAAATCTAGATGGACAAGAGAATGGGATTTGTATCTATTATTAACATTTTCTTACCCTGAAGATCTTCAGCATTTCTCCAGGGGAAGCAAGAAGGCAGTTATTGCGCTTCTAGAGGCTGAAACTTGGCCCTGAATTTAGGCCTTAGAGAGAGAACACTGTTGGAAGTCGGCAGAACAAATTCTCTTCCAAGTCTTTGGATGCTAATCCATCCAGGTCTAGCTGAGCACCTCCTCAAAGAGTTCTTTAAGAATTCTGATGATATGAGGTTATGATGAAGTTTATCCCCTACCACCTCAAAAAAAATCCATGTGTTTTGCTGACATCTTCACCAGAGTATATTGACCCTTTGAACATGAGTGAATTAAGTCCATCATGCAGTTTTACCAAGACTTCTGTGCTATCTTATAATATGATCCTCAGGTTTTCCCCACGTTCACACCAAGTATGATTTTAAAATATGTGTCTTATCCTCATTAAAGGAGGTCTGGTGGTGTAGTGGGTAAGACATTTGGCTGCTAACCCCAAGGTTCGTGGTTCAAACCCATCATATGCTCTGCAGGAGGAAGATGAGACAGTCTACTTCTGTGAAGATTTACAGCCTTGGAAACTCAATAGGGGTTGCTATGAGTAGGAATCAACTCAGTGACAATGGGTTTGGTTTTTTTGGTGCCCTCATTAAGCACATGCCAAATTTTCCTCAACTTTGAATCCTTGCCAAAATCCGTATTCATATTTGTAATATGTAACAGTCAAGGGCAAATGAAGTTTTTGTCCACTTTGAGCTTTCTTCAGATACTTGTTTCAAAGCAAGGACTATATGGGGAGAATGTCGAGGGACCTGAGAAATTAAATGCAAGACACCTTGGAAATTTCCAGGAAGATGAAAGATAGAGGATACATGGGATGAGAATGAGGAAGAATTGTTGTGATACTATTGATTGAGTGGCCAAGTGGTAGATTTTGGTGCTATAAAAACTTTAGGGAAATGGACTGATCTAGGTCAGTGATTTAATAAACTACTTTGAAAGCATAAGCTGTAAGGATTCTTCAGAGAGGAATAAGATGCCCCTTCTGTTCCTCTACCCCTTTACACTGCTCTCAAAGCAGATCAGTAAGATCACATGGTGTGTTTTGTGGACGCAGGATCCCAGGATTGGATAGCATGGGCTTTATTTACTTATTTAAAAATGGATGTTAGTAAACCCCTAGGATTAGTATTTTATTGGAGAAAATAAGAACTAAAATGACCTTATTTTCCACCCAGTGTTTTTTCCTCCCACTAGGTTTTGCCCTCCCTCCATTCACTCCTTATTCAAGTAAAGATCATTTCATAAAATGGGAAAGATCTTTGTTGAATGGGTTTTAATGAACATGAAATTGCTCACTGTGTTGAAATTTAAATGAAACTCTTCTCCTTTGACCACTACTTGAACTTTTGACAAGTTGAAAATCTAAGACGTTTGACCCTCTGAGTTCAACCTATATGTAAAGTGTGACCTTGGTGTTTGACCAAGAGTAGTGTCAGGAGTTCAAGAAGTGAAATTACATGCCTACAAAATTGATTAGCTAAGAATTATTCATAAAATATTTATATATTTATAAGTGCCACTGAACATATAGTTCAAGGCATGATTTGTAAATAGTGTGATCCTTATTCTTGAGTTCCTTACAGTCTGGAAGAACTGATGGAAAATCTATCTACAAGGAGGAGTTGGGCGTGATATTATTAAAGATGCAAGGCATGGAGAAAGAAGGAGTATTTTTAGCACTGATTGTATTTCTTCTAGGTGTTACAGATTTATGTTTAAACCACTCATAGTACTTTGTATCACGTATTTTTGTTTGGAAAAAAAAAAAAAAGATGTTAAAAGTCATACATCTTGTAATAAATGAGACTAGAGTCTTAGCCGAGAACCCATGATGAAAATTGGATTTGTTTCCTGCCACAGCCTAGAGAGCGGTGTGGTTTGTGATTATGTCTTCCCATCTGGCCCGCCCCTCTCTCTGTCTGCCAATCACCTGGGAATTTATCTGCATTCAGCATTAGCTGAAGAAAGGTGGAAGCCAAAATGTTGTTGATGTATTTATGTATGTGTGTGCAGAAGTGCTGAACAAAGACAAGCTGATTGAAAACACCCACTCAGAGAACCAATAATAACTTTCTCTTCTTGTCCCTTTCACTTACTTCCTTTCAGCAACCACTGGAAAGGAAAGACAGCCAGAATAGTTCTCAGCACAGTGTTTCCAGCCACCGAAGTCTGCACACAGCATCCCCAAGCCACAGCACACAGGTGCTTCCCGAGTACTCACCTGCAGAGGCCCCAGCTGCAGATCAGACTGACAGCTCTGGGCAGAAAAAACCAGATCCTTTCAAAATCTGGGCCCAGTCCAGGAGCATGTATGAAAACCGACGTGAGTAGCCCCCTGGCTCTTGTCCTCACTACATCCCTCCCTAGGCTTCAAATTTTCTCTTGAGGCTTACAAAGATAGAAAGAATTTCAGGTTGTAAACCAGATACAGGTATATTAGGTTGGGCAGTGGAAATGTCTCAGAGCCACCAGTAGAATTTCATGGATATTCATGGAAAATCCATTATGTCTTCATTGTTGTGGGGTTGGGGTAGAAATGGATGGTCATCAAATAAATGGCCTGGATAAAAATGGATCTATTTTCCCCTTCAGTTGAAAGAAATGATGGAGAAGAGCTGCAGTGTTGTTAATTCTACCCTGAGTGGAGACTCTGGCATGCTCTGAGCTCATGTATTCAGAGACAGCTCTGATACACAATACAACATAAATATGATTGCTTTGAATTGCAGCAGTAATAAGAGGAAATTAAATGCTTTCTTAATGGGCTCTTGATTTTTACCAATACTGGTAAATTTTTTCCCCATTATCAGCCTTTCTAAACAGTTCCCTGAAAGAAAGAAAAAGCAGTAAGTGGTTTTTGTCCTTTAATTATTTGTACAATTGTTAAGTGTGTTCCTTTGACTTTACCTTTTCAACAAATATGAGATAGTGGAGGTGTGCTCGCTCTGTAATCTGTAACTTCTTGGCTTGTCTAACATAATATCTCTCTCGTGTTGAATGTCTTACCTTTTATTATGAAATAATTTCCAAAGAATATTGAATAGAAATAACATCCTTTTGTCTTATCAATGAAAGTTGTTAAGATGCTTCCGTTTTAGTGATGCACATCGGCTTTTTATTTGTGTTCTGGTGCTGACATTTTCCCATGGGTGTGTTTTGTGAGGATGAGTTGACTATGAAGTACAGTCCCCTCATTGTCTGTTTTTGGCATAGGATAGGAGAGAATGTATAAGTAGAGAGGAGGCCACATATAGTGAAGAGTCTAAGAGAAACTAGAAGAGAAAAAAGAATCATTTTGCCTATGCCCCTTACCATAAGGAGTTCTGGTGGTGCAGTGGTTAAAGCATTTTGCTTGAACCTACCAGCTGCTTCATGAGAGAATGATGAAGCAGTCTCCTTCCATAAAGATTTACAAGTTTAGAAAACCCTTTGGGCAGATTCTACTTAGTCCTATAGGGTTGCTATGAGTTGGAATCAATCTGATGGAAGTGGATTTGGGTCCACCCCTCACCGTGGATTTCCTTCACAGTCACAGTTATATTTACCTCTCAGACAAAATCCCCATGAAGTCATGGTAAGAGGTTGTATGAGGTAGTTCAGCCTCTTGCCTACCCACTTGGAATTGATATATTTCTTTTGCTGGCTGAAGCATGCATTGAGAGACTTTCACCTTCTCTGTGACCCAAGTACAATAGGGGAGTGAAGCCAAATCCCTGTCTGAGAAGGAAAGTCAACCATACTGCTAGGTGAAACATAACTGTTAGGGACCATGAGGCAAATCTGGAGACTTGCTACTTACCACATATTAGAAGTAAGAGATCCCTCCATCCTTTTCTTTTTCAAGGGAGAAATACCATTGTTCTTTTACTGTAAGAGTGTGTATTGTTAAATAGGTTGTTTGAACTAAGGGTTTACAATGTGGACAAAAGACAGATAATATGTGAAATGGATTTATTTAGTTCCTATAGACTAGAAGGATACCCCTATAGTCTCCCTGAGGCCAGGCAAGAAGAAATGAAGTTGCGTTTGGAACATTTCTCCTAAGGAGTAGATGCTGAGTATGAACCTGGGGTTCTATCCTCGCTGTGTCTCCTCACTAATTGTAGAGATGTCATTGAAGAAATGTTTTCTGAGAGGCATATTTTCACATTCCCTCCACAGTTCTCTCTAACCATATGGCTCCTCCAATCAATGGCTTAACTTCAGTTGATGTTGAGATATTGCTTTATTGACTGTGCCTCTGCCTTTCTCAATACAGTACACAGTTATGACTGAGCTTTCCATGTATGAATCTTTTTGTGATAAAATAAATGGTGTTCTGAACTACTGGTGGGGGCCCCATGGATTGACAGAAAATTTCAGTGCATCTGTTCAATGGGAAGCTGCAGCTCAAATGCCAGACTCATCCCGATTTAAGCCCGTTTTTCTTAAGAATTTACAGTTTAATCCAATTTTTTAAGAAAAGTTTTCACAAGAAAAATATGTGAACTTGTCACAGCCAGCTGCTTTAAGCATTGAAACTGATCAGGTGACAGCCAGGCCCAAATATTCAGAAGAGTGCTAGTTTTGTTCTTCACTTTCTTTAACATCTAAGGGATAGGAAACAGCAGCACAAATGAAAGTGTCTTTTCAGTGATTGGAGGCAGGAGCAGGTTATCCAGTAAGCAAGGTAAGCATGGGCTGACTTGTGCTTGCTTACTAATGTGTAGTGAACAATTTCATATGGCTTTCTGCTTACTGAGTAGTCTGTCCCTGTCAGGGATTGTAAATTTGAAAAGAGCCTTTGATTCTGTAGGAAGGTGCTCTGGGGTTGGGGAGAGACAGATGCCAGCCATACCTAGAAGAATCTTTGATGTGGTGAAAAAATATGAAATTGTTCAGTACAGATTAGTAAGTAAGCACAAATAAGCCAGTGCTTACCTGACTTGTTGGGTAATCTGATACTGATGGGAGTACCTGTAATTGAATGATAGTAGCTGCCTAATAGATGTTAAGGTTTGCATGGATTTCTCCCTCACTACTAAATGAGGATAATGATGAGACTTTTCCCCCAGAGGTAACTATTCTGAAGCTGTCACAGATTTTCTTCTTTTCATATGAACTGACATCATTCTTGTCTTTGAGTCAGCATTTGCTTTATCCACAGATCAGTTTTTGCCATTCCCTTAGGTAGTTTTATAGCATGTGTTTCGGGGAAAAACAAATACAGTATGTACCCTCGTTAGATTGGATATCTTGCACTACCCTCACCCCCAAGACATATTAAAATATGTGAAGTAGTACAGGTAAAATAGGAAAATTGCAGTCAGTAACAGCACCTTAACTGTACCCCTTTTTGTTGAAAATATATTTTTATTATATTTTATTTTACTATTAAAGGCAGTGTGAAGATTAACAGAGTCTCTGATCAAATTCCTTCACATGGCCCATGTGTTCTGCACAATCCTGTGTTCTTGATATGCCCACCTGTCCAAAATGAGAGGGGGCAGTGAATCAATCTGAATTGTAGGTATAATAATGGATCCTTTTGAAGGGCTTAAATGTTTAATTAAAAACAAAGGCAAGCTTTAAAAGTCCTGTAAAAGCCATATTGCCCATTCTATCTTTTCTCTAGATAACATACTAATTATGCACACATGTCTTTAAAAAGGACATTGATGTAGTCTTATTAGGAAGCAAATGTTCAGGAAAACCAGCTAGCATCCAATATTGTTTACTGTGGAAGAAGTGATAAAGCTTATTGTTGAAACTTTGCCTGTTCACACAATAGTTTGGAGAGAAAAAAGCTCAAAGATGTCTTATCATCCTATATTGTAAACGTATCATGCTCTGGACACATGTGCTTACAAATTTGGAGATGGTGTTTCGGCATCTTTATCATAGTGAGTTTAAAGAGCTTGGGCGTGCATCTAGATTAAAAGAGCTATGATGACAATTCCTATTTGTGTGTTTGTTCAGATCTTGAACAGATCTGATGATTTGTGTCTCTATAAACATAAGACTATTCTGGTTTGAACTATATAGAATTTACCTGAACAGGTCATAGTAAAAGTATGAATTTCATGTGGAACTTTAATAAATGCAGTAGTGCAACAGTTGACAAAAGTATTTAAAAATTTTGAAAGGAAGTAAGAGTTTAGAGAAATCTTCTAAAGTTCATGACATGATTAAAATAAGGTCATACAAGAATGTGTACTTAAGGGTCTAATTAAAAATGAAGAGTCTAAGATGGTAATTGTAGTTTTACGAAATCCGTTTGGTACAACTGTGAATTCTAGCTTTTTGACCAAAAACAACAACAAAAAAAAATCAGTATGAATAAACGAAAAATTCAAAAAGTCATGACCTTTCCTGTGAAAGTTGAACTGCACATTCCTTATCAATCAAAACTAAATTGAAATGAACTAATAGAAAGCACATACATTACACTTTGCAAAATTGTGAAATTAATATTCTAGCTATGTCACCTTCGCCTGCATCGGGATTGAGCAAGGGTGAAAGAGAGAGAGAAATCAATTCCACGAACTTTGGAGAATGTCAGAGTAAGAATCCACTGAAAACTTTTATTTTTCCATTATTATTCATCCTGTTCAATGTTCCCACTGTTCTGGGGGGGGGGGGGGCTGGGGAAATGCTCCAAAAACGGAGGAAAGAAAGACAAAGGCCATGGGGGAATGTGCTTTGGCACTCTTGTTGACCAAGAGTAGACCAAAGAAGATGAAATAAAAAGTAATGTGCATGTCTTTGCAGAGTTTGGAAATGTGTTGTGCATCTGTAGCAATGGAGTCACCAAGAGGTCTCTTTTCCAACCTGGTGTTTCCATTCCTTCTAATTATCAAAGGAAGTCCTTTGACTGCTTTACTGGATTGACTTTGGTCTTATGTAAAGGTGATTAACTGTTGAGAGTGTTCCCTACACAAGGGCTTGAAAATGAAGAATACTGGATTTTTTTTACTTTTATTTGACATAGCCTCACTCAAAAAAAAAAAAAAAAAGTGATATGAATATCAGAAAGATGGTTCCACACTGCTGCCTCCTAAGAACTTAATTCTAGTACAATTTGCCTGAAATGAAGAGAACAATCCTCTGGTGTATGCAGATGAGAAACCTCAATGCCTCTGTGAAGAAAAGGGGTCAGAGGCAACAGAAGAGAGGAAGTCTCTAATATCAAAATATGTTTGAGTTCTGCTATCTCACCAAAGTTATTTATTTGGGTAAATGGCATTTAGTTGGTGGAAGAGTATAATTGTTAAAATACTGACATTATATCCAAAAGGCTTCCTTCGTGACATGCCTGTGTGTTGTTCTGTTGTGTTTGTTCCCGTGTTTGTGACTAGTCATTGGTGTCTCTAACATCTTTGGTGTCATTGGGCATCTTCCTTCTCTGTAGACTAGCTCTTTAAATAAATTTGCCATTCTTCTGTTGAATCTCAGACAGAAACAAATGTGGTTTTTTTTTTTTTTTTTTTTTTTCTTATGGACTAAACTGTGTGATAAACCTAAGTTTCTCAGCCACAGCCTCCCATACCATGATAGCTGACACCTAAAGGAGCAATTTAGGCAGGGACTTGCTATACATTTGGTGTCCCTGTAGGATGGGCAAATGTTTCTGTGTTAAAAGATGCTGAGAAAAATAACATAGGTCTAGGATGGAGGTCTCTGTAGAGGCTGTTTCATTCTTGACAAAAATGCCACACATTCGGAAGACGTAAGGCAGACTCTGCCAGGAGACTGGTGATGGCTGGAAAGCACTCGTGGACTATTTGGGTAATAATCCTCATGCTCAAGTGAACCAAAGATGGAGACATAACTTGATTTAATTTGTTGTTTCAAAGAAACCATTACAAAAAATACCCTTTAACTAGCTACTCGAACAGAAAGAAAATATTGTTACCTTAGCATGCACAAAAAGATATTCACCTCAAATTGAGTTTATGGGAGTTCTATGATAAGTTTTGCTCCATGTTCCATGACATTTTGCAGCTTAGCCTCAGCAATTACAATAAGAGCATGTTGGATAAAAAGAATCCATTTCAAGCTGTGGTATTAAGATAGCTCAAGAAAAATATCGCATTCAAACATCTCTGACTAGTACTTACCTATTCCTTTCCTTTCTTCTCTCTTGGCTTATTCAGTCACTGAGCTTTTTAAACTTGTGAGTGAGTCACTAAAAAGGGACATCGCTTACCAACTTGAAGTCTAAACAACCACCTCCTTCTTTCCTATCCCATTGTACAAAATTGGAGAAGAATATAATTCGCAGACCTACACATTCCTTCAACCCTAAATCCAATTAATTAAATAAACCAGAAGGTGTACAGAAAAGTAGTTGGAAGATCTCCTTTGGGCCAACTAAATTTTATTTTTTATCTTTAAATAAAAGCTATGTCATTTTATAGACCATAAAACACACTATGTACACATTACAAGATTAAATAAGAATTAAATAGAAATAACCCTTTTTTATTACTGTAGTTAAGTACTAAAGTATTACGAACAATTTCATGTGCATTAAACATTTTCTTATGGAAATTACTTTTCTTTTAAAATATGAGATTTTCATTTTAAAGTCCTGGAGTGTTACTGAGTTGAGAATATCCACTTGTTAGATAATAAATTAATACATGCAATGTTGAAAAATAAAAGCACTCGGTCACTTTGTCAATGAGATAGGGTCTTTTGTTGTCACCCTTGCTCTTAAGGATGAAGAAGGCTATCTTTTGGTAATAGAACTAAAATCATAGTAAACTTTGAAAATTTGGATGGAAAATTAGGATAGAAAGTTAGAAACTAACTTTATTTGGCAAAAATTATCTAACAGATCAAATATTAGCATTACTGATCTTCATGACTTAAGGGTGAAAAGTGATTTAACAGGACTTTTCGATCCTTAGAATCAACTTCTGCTTCGGAGGTTACTCTGACTTAGCATGAGCTGACTTCTTGAGCATGGTCCCACCTTGGTGAGGCAGCACATAATGATTCTAATTTTCTTAAATGCCCCTTGCAACAATATTGAGAGGAGGAGTAGTCAGAGCTGACTTCTGGTTTAGCTCTGGCTTGATTTGGAATTATCAAACAGTGATTAGTCCTTTGGAAAAAAAGAAAGGGCTCAGTGACAGTTCCCATCATTTCCTTTCATTTGTTGTCATCCATTATCTCACCCATATAGCTGATTTTGTCTTCTTGCCTATAGTAGAAAACTTCCATCTGCTCGCCTCCCATCAGTATTGGTCCTGTGATTGTGTTCCCCTTAGGGGCACAATTCCTTTTATCAGAGAAATAAAGTCTCCTTTCCTTTTTCCATCTCTGCAGTTCCAGATTACCAAGAACAAGACATCTTCCTATGGAGAAAAGAGACTGGATTTGGATTTAGGATTCTTGGTGGAAATGAACCAGGGGAACCTGTGAGTCTTTTGTGTACCTTTTGCCCTAGTGCTTCTTTCTGAGACTTCAAAGAAATTGGCATAGTGACATATCACCAAGATTTGAGTCCAGCTACGTGTGATACTAGGAGCTCTGGTAGCGCAGTGCCTAAGGCACTTGACTGCTAACCAGAAGGCTGGCGGTTCAAATCCACCAGGCATTCCTCAGAAGGAAGGTTCTACTACTACTTCCGTAGTGATACCGCCTCGGAAACCCAAGGAGGAGTCGCTATGAGTCGAGGCCGACTCGACGGCGCATAACAACAACAACAACAACGTGCGATACTGAGCCTTTTTATCTTGAGCAAAGTGTGGCTTACTCATTAGATTTTGTGGAGTTCTTTTTGTCTTGAGTAAGAAGGGACAATATCCTTTCTAAAAAGTTTACGTTAGTGTTTGTGAAAAATGGCAGCTATAGCATCTGGAGACAGCCTGGCTACCTGGCAGGGAGCGGCTGGTGGGTCTGAACTGCTAGCCTTGGGTGTGGCAGCTGACTGCCCAAGGCCCTGAGGCCATCCCAGGGAGCTCTGGTAGCATAGTGCCTAAGGCACTTGACTGCTAATCAGAAGGCTGGCCGTTCAAACCCACTAACCACTCCTCGGAAGGAAGATGGGGCAACCTACTTCCGTAGTGATACTGCCTCGGAAACCCAAGGAGGGGTCACTATGCGTCTGGTCCAACTCGATGGCACATAACAACAACAACAACATAGCATCTGGTATTCCTCATCAGGGAAGATGGAAACAAAACAAAATAGTAATAAATAGTCACTGTCAAGTTGATTCTGACTGGCAACTCCATGTATTGCAGAGTAGAACTGCATTCCATGGTGTTTTCATGGCTGTGACCTTTTGGAATTGACTTCAAGGCAGTGGGTTTGGTTTACTATGTGCAGGACTCCATGCTAAATGCTTTTAGTGTACATTTTATCATTTATTCATCAAATTAATGAATTTATCCCCATGTCACATAAACAAACAAAGATACAAAAATGTTGATTAACTTGCCCAAGATCACAGAGCTAGTAAATGGAAGGGCTGGAATACTGCCTGACTCCAGAGCCTATATTCTTAACCACTGTTTGTCCATGTTCTTTGTAAGTTACAAATGCCAAGTAAAGGTAATTGTATCCCTGTTATCTACTTGGAGGGCAAGGAAGCACAAATATTTTAGCTGAAGTTCAGCAAATGGTGAATATAATAGTAAGATACTAAAGAATGCAGAGATAAGGAAGTCAAGGTAGGCTTTGCTTGGCTCATGCATTTTTTTAACAATATTTATTGTGCATTCTCTATTGCTAGGCACAGTGCTAAGCCCTTAAAGAAAAGCAATTATTACTACTAATTAGAAGAGTTTTATAAAAGGAGAGTTCTTATGTAGATAGGAAAGGTGAAAAGGGGGGAGTAAAGTGATTTATGGAGCCCCTGCGTCATGTAAAAATTGTTAACACATTTGGCTGCTAATCAAAAGGTTGAAGGTTTGAGTCCACTCAGAGATGCCTTAAAAGAAAGACCTAGAAATCTACTTCCAAAAAAATCAGCCATTGAAAACCCTGTGGAGCACTGTTCTATTCTGACACACAGGGGTCACCATGAGTCAGAATTGACTCAATGGCAACTGGTAAAGTGATTTATATCTGCAAAGAAGTAAAGGAAAAAATGGGTCATCCAGCAGACCACAGATAAACATTATGGCACTTAGCACAATGCCTGGTACACAGTGGTTGCTCAATAAATGTTTGAGACATAAATGCAGGCAAAAATGAATGAATTCACTTGTTCTCAAAGACGTGAAAGTCACAGTTGTGATAATATATTGAGAGGGCAATGTTTCATCCATTGTCTAATTACTCAACAGATTTATATCGGTCACATTGTACCGCTGGGTGCTGCTGATACGGACGGCCGCCTGAGGTCTGGAGATGAATTAATCTGTGTCGATGGGACACCAGTAATTGGAAAATCACACCAGCTTGTGGTCCAGCTTATGCAACAAGCTGCCAAGCAGGGCCACGTCAATCTCACAGTGCGGCGTAAAGTCATGTTTGCAGGTATGTTTTTCATTCATTCCTTCAGTGCACTGTCACTTTATGCACAGAAAAGGCTCTCCTTCCTGTGTCTGCCTCCTCAAGCATCTATTTTAGCAAATGTTTGCAAATGTGATCAAGTTCAGTATTTCCAGATGGTTTGCTTCTCTCACCCCATGCAAAACTCCTGTCATTCAAAAGTACTTTACTGTGTCATTTGCACATGTTCAGCAAAGGCTTCTATAAGAAGGCTAGTTGAACATACATTACTTCCCCTCACCCCCTGACAGCTAAAGCTTACTCATCCTTTTCATTTGATGATCATTCACAACAAAAGAGGTCATTATAAAAGTCAGAAGAGCTGTAAGGTCACATTAAAAGTTAGTGATTTCTTACTCTGTTTTTGAATGCCATTGTATTAAAGCGAGAATTTTCTCATCTCTACAAATAATTTGTAGAGCTGGCTGGTTCCAGGTCATTTTTGATTACTTCCTCCAGACCACAATCTTCATAGTTCTGTAGCTCTCCAAGTAGTACATATCCTTTAAGGCTCAAGTATAACCTTCTCTGTGAAATCTTCAGAAATCCGTTCTTTCCTCCAACTGCCTTTTTGCCATCCTTGTGACTCATGCTTCACTTCTGTATCCAAATACAGGGGCTGACTCTCGGCCCAATAGTTAACAAGATGTACATGCAGACCAGTCAACCCAGGATGACGTACCCACATACTCTATGGTAATGCATCCCTTAGAGCAATAGACCACAGGACACCAGAGGACCAACATTCAAACTGAGGAAATGCAGGACAAACAGGAGAGCATAATTATGAGGGGCACAGGGGGAGGGTTACAGGGTAGAGGCGGGAGGAGACTGGGTTGGGGTTGCACATGGTAAATGGGGAATGAAACTAAATGTACACATATCATTGAATGTGAAACAAGCTCTTAAAAGAAAAAAATAGGGCAGTGATTTTGTTTGTTGCAGATTTATTTTTTAAATCTTAAGTAATTTGGGTTTTCAGTAGTGTTTACAAGGTATGCTGAATCTATGAAGGAAAAAGTTTACGGGAATAAATAGAATCTTTTCCAAAACCTAGGCACACATTTTGTTTTTGGCATGAAACCAAAAGTTAGTCCCACCTACTATTGTGGTTATTTAATGGGAATGCTTTTATGTGTCACCTAACAAAGTAGGAGAACTGGTATGGTAACTAAATTCTGAAGTAGGCTAATGTATTGAGGTGTATGTGATCAGAGTAGATAAATGACATCTGAAAGCTAGAAAGAGGAACCTAGTATACTTTTAGGAGCTCTGGTGGCATAGTGCCTAAGGCATTTGACTGCTAACCAGAAGGCTGGTGGTTCAAACCCACCAGCCACTCCTTGGAAGGAAGATTGGGCAATCTACTTCCATCAAGATACCACCTCGGAAACCCAAGCAGGGTCACTATGAGTCAGATCCAACTCACTGGCATTGAGTTTGGTTTTTGGTTTAGTATACTTTTGACAGGTGCTGTTGTCAGGAATCCTATACTATGGAGGGCTTAATGGTACAGTCATTTTACAGTCTTGCCTGATGGAAAAGCAAAAGCAAAGCTGTTGGGAAACCAAGCAAAAACACAGTTTGAGGGTTAAAACAGTGTGAAAGTGCAGTTGAGTTTGTATCTATAAAACAAAGGAGGTGGTTGTCATTGGTGTGGTCCACACCTACACTTAATGCAGTTATTTCTTTTAGTTTGTGTAATGGAAGATACTTCAGTGTGGGCTGATCTTGCTGCAAACTTCATTCTGAGTGTGGATGCTAATGTACACATGCTGTAAATTATACATGATTTGAGGATCCTTTTTATGTTTATGTAGGATCAATGTTAGTGGATATTGAGTAGTAAATACTTAACAAGGAAAGCTGGTTTAAATTTCTGCATCCTACTTCTGGAGGGTCAGGTGCTTTGTTACCTCAATTAATCTTTTGCTGTCTTGCCTGTTGTAAAGTTGAGGGAAGAAAGAAGTTATTTAGTTTGTGAAGTTTTATAATTTAGATGTGAATTGTTCTATTACAGTCCCCAAACCAGAGAATGAGGTGCCCTCACCAGCCTCATCTCATCACAGTAGCAACCAGCCAGCCTCCCTGACTGAAGAGAAACGTACTCCACAGGGAAGCCAGAATTCTTTGAACACCGTGAGCTCAGGCAGCGGCAGCACCAGTGGGATTGGCAGTGGAGGGGGCGGTGGCAGCGGTGTGGTGAGCACAGTGGTGCAACCCTACGATGTGGAGATCCGCCGTGGGGAGAATGAGGGCTTTGGCTTTGTCATCGTGTCTTCCGTGAGCAGGCCTGAAGCAGGCACGACTTTTGGTGAGTGTTGAAACGATTTTCCCTTGTGATTCATGTGATGCCAGGGCGGGTGTTCTATTATAAGTGAAAGATGGCCAAAATCTCATTAACAGAAATGCTTTAATGCTTTTTGCCTCAGGTAATTAAAGTCTAATTGGGGATGGAGTTTATTTGGTAGTTTTTTCTTCTTGAAGTATGTGTGTCTGTGTATGTTTTAACCTTTCAACTTCCATTCTGAATGTGTGTTTTAACACACAGAAAGCTTCATGCATACGTGGGCTTGAAATTTGTATAGAGTAACCCCTGGACAGGGAATAATGTCAGAAATTTTTCCAGAGAAAGACTTTTCAGAGAGTGAGATATCATTAATACCAGTGGCCTCAGAAGGTCTAAGAGTTTTTAAAAGGAACATATGGTTGTAAAAATGCCTATGAAAAATAGAGGTGTGTAGAGTAAAAATATTACACAAAATGTTCTTCCCACCTCATCTATGTCCTTTCTCTACCCTATTCCCATCTGATTTTTTTTTTTTTTCTAATTTCATATAAAGTTTTTATTGTTGTCTGGTTAAAATCTGAGTTCAGAACCATTTGTCTTTGTTTCCCTTAAATTCTAGCAGAGAGGATTTTCCTGTCTCAACCAGATGTTAGTGGGTTCAGCAGAGAATAGGGAAACACAAGTGTTACCTTCTCAGAAGGTTAACTAACTCTTTGCTGGTGCACTAACAAAGACAAATAGGAATCCAGAAGATTCCAGGAACTGGTGATCTATGAATCTCTTTCCTGTTAGAATGGATTCTAGATGTGTGCTCTAAAAATGAACTGCCCCCTGATTAGATAAAAAGTCATTTGTTATCTCCCAAGCATGTGCATTCATTAATAGGACAGGAAAGAAGAAAGGCTGTGCAGACTTTGAAATTAACCTCAGCTCTACCTCAAAATGGCTTAGCCACGTAGACTCTGATGACCAGTGATGCAGGTCAGAAAGTTAGGATCAGTAAGGTTCTGTTTCCCTTTAACATTCTTATCCAGTAGAATTCCTGTGCCTCCATTTAGTCTTGATACATTGCTTCCTGCTAAAGCCATTCTGCTTAAGTTTTGTTCATTAAAAGAAAGGCAGCTAGGTCTGTGCATGTATGGCTGCAGTAACAAATACCCATACTAACAATACTTTTGTGAGGTACGTTAATGAATAAAGTTATTGTAGCATGTCATAGGTGAGTGACCTGTCTTTGAGCCAAGTTTTTAATTTTTTGTTTTTAATTAATTTCTGAGACTTTTCTGCTTAGTTTAAAAACTAAGAGAAAGTATGTGTGGGGGGGGATCCCAAGTTATTTTCTTTAAATCTACAATTTGACTATCCCTATGTTCCCTGTGATGTTCTAGAATTTCACAATTCTCAATTTCACTCTCTAGAGAAAAAAAACAGTTATGTCAAGTGGCAGGTTTGTGTTATATAATGAATATTGAATGTCTTCACTCACAATTTGGTCTTTGATTGTTTTCCTTTGGCTCTGACATTGAACAAATTAAACTTTCTCTTATACTTTGCATGAGACTTCTGAGCTATGCAGAGATTGCCTCATATCTGCTGTTTATTATGTTTCTCATGCAAGTTGTCATTGGAAATGGCTAAACTTAATCAAAGACTTTGAATTTGAGTATGGAAGCTTTCCACTACACCTATCTATTGGATTCCAATAGACTGATTACTTTGTCTTTTTTTTTTTTCTTCTTTGCCTTGGCGTTACATCCAGTGACATAAACTCAGGCAAATCTGCTGAAATTTAAAGGAATTATAGTGCATTGCCTAATGTATTTTACCTTCTGGGTTCAAATTATCATTGAAGAGCCTACTCAATTCCAGTGTCCCCCATATTGCTTTTGTCACCTTTTCCAAAGTGTTGCTCAGCTACTTAACTATCTTCACAGTCCCCAAAAAGACAAATTCTCAAAGTAGGAAAATATGTGTAAGAAACATTGAAATTCAGTATACAATTAGGTAGAAACTCCTTGTCAGGCCTTGAAGCTAGTTTTCTACCTCTCTAGAAATAACTGATGCTCTTGGTTGTGACATGAACCACCTTAAAATGCACGATAAACCTTCCTCATCAAATGCACTTTTCCCAGTTCTTAATGTTGTAGATACACAGTAATTTAGGAGGGAAAAGGAAACGATTGAAGGCAAAGAGTTGCAGAGTGATTTGAACCTAGCTTTGAATCAGTGTCCTCAGCCTGAGTGGGCACTAGATTTTCATACTCCTTTGAGAGGGTTTTTGTGAGGAAGGGGAATGATTTCAGAGGTAATGAACCATTTGGACCTTACTCTGAAAGCACACAACATAGGCTGATTGAGCAAAGGTCATGAAAGGAAAAATAGGTGTCAGGATTGGATGCTTTCTTGGCTCTTCTCTTATAATTATGCCTTTTCTTTCATTCTCCACCCTCCCCCCCTAAAAAAAAAAAAAAAAAGCTTTTATTATTCTGACTGGAAGGCTGAAAGTCTGAGTCGATTAGGCTTTTTGAGATTGAATGTTTGGTACTAGGAGACTCTTGCCTCACCAGACGCCTAGTGCTTATTTTTCTAAATGGAGAAAGAGCAAAACATTGGCAGAAGCTTAAACAACAGCTGGCACAAATGAAGTGCCATGAACACAAGGTCCATCTCAGCTCTTGGTTTCACATTTGCAATCCCAAAATAAGACAACGGCGAGTTATTTCTGGACTTTTGAGAGTCTTTGAAGTAGCTAAATGTCCTGAATTTTGTAACTGATTTAAGGAGGGAAGCTGGGGTTTTCCTCTTATTTTAAGTTAGGAAAGGACTGCAGCAATGAATCACAATTTCAGGGTAGTAGCTTCTTATACAGACACCCTGATATTGCCAATGTTTTGACCCTCAGTGCAGAGCTATCCTTTAATAACATTTGCTTAATGCTTTAATTAATTAACACTTAACCTTCTCTTTCCCTTTTCAACCCTTTTTCTCCTCCCTTCACTATATTCCCATGTAACTTAAAAAAAAAAAAAAAAAAAAAATTAAACTCAATACCAAAGCAGGCAATGCATGTGTGGCTATGCCTCACAAAATAGGTCGGATTATTGAGGGGAGCCCTGCTGACCGCTGTGGCAAGCTGAAAGTAGGAGACCGGATCTTGGCGGTAAATGGATGTTCCATCACCAACAAATCTCATTCAGACATTGTCAACCTAATCAAGGAAGCGGGAAACACAGTTACCCTCCGCATCATTCCTGGGGATGGTAAAGTATACCTATTATCTTTCTCTTACTATCCCTTTCTTCCCCTCTTTTTCTCTTTCTCTTTCTCTGTCATTAGTGTTCATGTAATTAAATAATGTTGATTTAGAGGCATCCTTATCCATCCCTAACAGAGCAGACCCATCAAACAAGCGTGAGCCATTGTTACTAAACCACACCTCACCTTCTTACTTAATCCTCTTGATCTGTGATCCTGTCTTACTGCAGAGATCAGTTTAAAAAAATCTTCAAATTTCCCCAATTGATTTTGGTTTTGGTGCCCTCATCTTGAAAACTGTGTGATGATTTTCATGCAGGTAACAAAGGTCCCCTGATGCTCCCTCTAGGTATCATTAACGATTCTTTCCAACAGTCAAGGAAATTTAACTTTATAATATGGTGACATCACCAAAACTACTTAATGACATTGTGGAGGCAATACTGTGTTTGTTTCAGAATAAGTGACTGTATCAAAGTTTTTGTCGTTGCTTGTTTATTTATTTTTAATTCAATGGGAAAGTGTTAGGGTTTGTGCCTAGTTGATTTGTCCCTAACTTTTGGATATGGTTGAAGGAAGAGTTAAATCTGTATATTTTTAATAGGTTGTATTTACATTAAACTATGCCTGTTCTTTTTGTTTATTCATCTGATTGGTTAAGTTCAAACATTTGTTTCCTTTACATCAATGGTTCACTGGGGGTGAACTGTAGATTCCTCAGAGAATTAATGCCTGAACATTGACTTCATTCTAAACAAATCTTGCCCTGGGAAGGAAATTGATAATTGTCCCAAAATGTTTTAATTCATTTTTTATTCAAGGAAAATATGGTTTATGGAGATTTTTTTGGTGTTGTTAGTTCTTAATTGACTCTGACTCATAGCAACCCTATGCACAACAGAAGAAAACATTGCCCTGTCCTGCACCATCCTCACATAGTATGATAAAAGTTCTATCCCAAAGATCTGTACAATAAGAACATCAGGCATTTTATCTGAGAGTAATTCATGAAGTAAATATTTTTAATATACTTATTGTTAGAAAGTGGGGTTATTATTTAAGATTAGAGTGGTGTTGTCTTTGCCTTTCTGAGAAAAGTAAAGCCAAAACCAAACAATAAATATTTGAAAATTGTTGGTTCTAAACAGAAACTTCCTGTATAGCAAAAATACCCTTTACCAAATGTGAAGGAAAAAAATAGCTCCTTGAATGATGGTCTACTTCACTCTGCTTCAAATGCATGGTTAGTAATTGACCATCTGGTCTAGAGTACATTCCACCAATTCACCACTCTGAAATGCTGTAACAATTCAGGAAAGTAATCATAGGATGATAGAACAAAGGTTTCTAGTGGAAAAGATAAAGGAAGCGAGAGGAGTGAAATGAGAAATGGTCAAGAGAGGCAAATATAGTTGATAAATACAGACACATTTATCCACTTGCCATGGGGAGATTTCAAGAGACTTATCCAAAATAACAGGACACAAGGATTTACTGGATGTATAACATGAATCAAAATAGGTTGGTCAGTATTAATGTGGAAATGAGAACATGAAAAATAAAGGACAAGAGGAAGGAAAGAAAGCAATCCTTGAAGGAAGGCCTTAGATAAAGAGTTTGAAATGAAGAGAAATAAAAAAGGAGCACCTTATGCCACATTGTTGTTGTTATGTGCCATCGAGACATCTCCAACTCATAGCGACCCCTCCTTGGGTTTCCGAGGTGGTATCACTATGGTAATAGATCACCTAATCTTCCTTCCAAGGAGTGGCTGGTGGGTTTGAACCACCAACCTTCTGGTTAGCAGTCAAGTGTCTTTAAGATGGATTGACACAGTGACTGCAATGATGGGCTCAGGTACAGCAAGCCTGTGAGGCTGGCACAGGACCAGGCAGTGTTTCATTCTGTTGCATACAGGGTTGCTATGAGTTGGAGCCGACTCAATGGCACGTAACAAACAACATACTATTGTTCACATAATAAAGTACAGTACAAAATAGATAGTTTTGGAATATCTGAACACCAATGAATATAATGAAGAATGGATTTTCCCATGACAGCAATAAGAAGGCATATTTATTTAAACTTAAGTGCTTTATGAAATAACAAAGCAAAATTCAGGTAGATATATCATGCATGACCTTGGTCAGAACGGACCACTGGTGGTATAGTGGTTAGGTACTCAGCTGCTAACTGAAAGCTCAGAGGTTTGAACCCACTAGCTGCTATGTGGGTGAAAGATATAGCAGACTGTTTCTGTAAAGATTGTTACTCTGTAACTGTCTTTGAAATGAGAGTTGAGGCAGGGAGTTAGATTTCTGGAGCAGTGCCACAGTGGTCCAGGAGGATTTTGCAAATGCCTGGAGAACAGAGCGAGTGTGTTTGTTAGGATTTGATGAAGAGAAAAATCAGTGTAGATCAACATCCTCCTGTGAAAAAAGGTTGGACATGGTAGTTTATATGATAAAAGGGAGGTACTCTCCTACCATTAGGAAATCTGTGACCTCAGATCTTCACTCAAACATTTCACTCATCAGTTACCCCAAACGTTTGTTTCATGGTATTCACAAGGAGGTGCAAGTTCATTACTCAGTGGTTTGGAGTTCTGAGAAAGCCATCTTGCCCAGTGTTACTGAAGGGTGCTTTAAGAAGAATTACACTCTAGTTTGGGCAGTACTCAGAACCTGCTCTGAATCCACTTCTTTGTCTAGCTCATTTTGCCTGATTTTCTTTCCCATACCATCAATCACCTCATTCTTTCTCTGACTTCACTTATCTTAGCCTACAGTTTTCCCTCTCTCTGCTTCCCCCATTTCTCTCTCAGCTCTCTGTCTTTGCCAGCCTCCTCTAGCAAAAACTCCACAATGTGATTCCCCTTAGCTTTAGTCTTATTGTGTTGTTAGGCCTGCCTTATAGATCTGGGACAGGACAAGGTCAGGGGACTCCTTGCCATCTCTGCTTTCTACTATCTCTGGGATCAGGATTGGTTGTGGGAGACACAAAATTTCTCCTCTGAGACATAGAGAATAGCTGAGTTGAGAGAATAGCTGAATATACTTGAACTTGAAAGGGGATTTGTGAAACCACACATGCTTTCTACCTGTGACATTGTATGGAAATGCCCAAGAATGCTGGGTATGAGTGAGAATTTAATTAGACAGGGCAGACCCTCACTGAGCCAGGCTAACAGGACCATCAGGTTGAATGAGGTTCAAGATAATGAAAATATTTATAAGCTTAAATTGGTATTATTTAGATTAATATTAAATTTGCACTGTAGATCACTATGACTTAGGGTATTTGCTTATATAAAAAGTAGCACTTGGCAACACAAATATTGCTATTTCCTTAACAAAGGCATAAAATAGTATAAAACTCTTAATAGAGTTTGTGGACGTAAGTGCAAATTTACACTCAATCCTGAGGAACAGGGTTACAACCATACACATTTTCAAAATCTCTCGGAACTTTTCAAATATCCATGGGATTCAAATTTGCAAACACTTCCTTCAAATATTTATGACATATGTGTTTATGCATTGAAATATTTATGAAAGGAATAATTGTATCCTTTGCTGATTTGCTTGGCTTTGTAATGTGGATTCTGTAAGGGAGGCTAAGAATATCAATACAAGAACAGGTTAGAATTATAATCAATTGTCATAGAGATACATTGAAACCCGAGTTAGAAGCTCCTGGCGGAAGAGTCAGTGCCCTGTTAGACCAGCACCGTGACAGTCCCTTCAGAACTAGGATTTGCTTTTCTTGATACACAATAACTATGGAAAATATAGTAATACACTTTTTAATTCCTCTGGGGCACTAAAGTAGGTATAAACACTGTTTTAGAAAAGTATGCAAAGTAATTTCTGGAATTATATTTAAAATATGCAGTGTATCTGTCTTCGAATTTTTAAAGTTAGATACACCAAAACTCATTAATAATACTGCTGCTTGAGGGCATTAGGGACTGTTGTTTTATTTCAGGCCCTCCTATATTTTTTCTAATATATAGGGCAAATTTTGCTTTGGGATAAGGCTCTAAAATTGTGATCATGGATTTCATTTCTATTTTAGAAAAAGCTCAAGAACATTTCAGCCGATACAATCTTGGTTTGATTCCAACTGAAGACTTAAAAGTTCATTAAAATCAGTATAACTTTATTGATATTATAAAAAAGCATCCTGGAAATCTAGAGTATGCTAAATACTATTTTGGTGCTCTGAAAATGGCCCAAGAAATATAGAAGTCAAAGCAGAGAATTTTGTATTTGAATTAATCTATAATACAACTTAATAAGATTGGTGGTGATTATGAAGTATAAGAAGACATTGCTTATTTTAAATAAATGTACCAATTATGTATGATTGATACCATCACATCATTTCCATATAAACTGAATAAGACTGAAAGTTAACTGCACAAGTTATGGAGTCAAACCCTGGGTTTAATTCCCACCACCTCCACTTGCTCCCTGCATGACCTTGGGCATGTTATGTGACCTTGGCTATGTTACTTACCTTTCTAAACCTTCATGTCCCCATCTGCAAATGGGAATAATAATTGCATCTAGATCACTGAGTTGTAAGAAATAAATGAGGTAATGCATGTATGTGATAATATACTTTGTGTAGTGCTTGACACATTGTAAATGATTACTCTATGATAATGGTTTATAAATTAAGGAAAAGAAGGAAAAAAAAATTCAGTGAACTCAAATAAACATTTATACATTAAATGTTAGTAAAAATGCTTGAAGTTAAGCTTCAAGAAAGATTGCCTAGAAATATAAATGGTAAAAATAACAAATGAAAATTAAAAAGAATATTAATAAAAGAATTGTCTTTATATGTGTTTTGAATGATTTGCTATTATATCTCATCAAATCATGAAAGCTGCAGAAATATAAAAATTGTTTGAGAATGAAATCAGATCTGCCTAGGAAACTAAAGGGAACTTTGGTAGAATTCAATAATTATAATCAGGAAACATTCTTTTTGGTATCCTGATTAAGATTTCCCCATGGTCCAAGCAATCTTTTGATCTCCCACAGAGTCTCCATAAAATTAATTACAATGAGCAATGTGAAGTTTATTAAAGAACCAATATGTGTGTTTGTGAAAGTTCTGGTGAGTTATATTGACAGACTATACAGCCAATTTGCCTTTGTACTGACATAGTGGGCATTTTTATGAAATATTACTTATACTTATTACCTTAGTTCTTCCAGTTTACTGACCTAAAATTTCAGTGATTTGAAGAAGTTAATAGTATCCTTCCAAAGGTTCTGCAAAAAGTTTTTGTGTTTTTTTTCCCCTAACATTATATAGTTGTTGGGTGCCATCAAGTCGATTCCAACTCATAGCAGCAGTGTGTGACTGAGTAGAACTGCCACCTAGGTTTCCTAGGCTCTAATCTTTATTTAAGGAGTTCTGGTGTTGCAGTGCCTAAAGTATTTGACTGCTAACCAGAAGGTCCACAGTTCAAATCCACCATCCACTCCATGGAAGGAAGATGGGGCAATCTACTTCCATAAAGATTTACCACCTCAGAAAACCAATGGGGGTCACTATAAGTTGGAATCAACTGGATAGCAGTGAGTTTTTTTTTGTTTGTTTTTTTTTAATCTTTTTGGGAGCAGATTGCTAGGTCTTTTCTCCCACGGAGCCACTGGTGGGTTTGACATTTGAACATTGAATTAGCAGCCAAGTCCTTAACCATTGCACTATCAGTTCTATAATAATATGCTTTTAATAGTGAATAGCAGTAATACATATATACTACTAACGAAAAATATGCTAGTAATTTTTTTGAAGCAGTTTTTGTGTGCCAAGTGCTACCTTAAACACTTTAGTCTCCGGTCATCTTTCCAACAATTCTCTTAGATACTTCTCTTCTTCCCAGTGGGCAGATGAGGAAACAGAGGCACAGAAAGTTTAGCCTGGGATGCACACTAGATAATCTGACTCCAGAATATTGTAATTTTGCTAAACTTCATTCCAGTAAGCTTTAGGAAACAGCACCACCTTTGCTTGGAGGGTCACAGGCACATTGGCATATTAAAGCTCTGAGAAGTCCCACACACACAAAAAAAACCCACAGTCACAAAAAAACATTTACTTTTGTGTCACCCATCATTTTCCAAACCTAATTGACTATAAATTCCTTTTCCCTCACAATCTCTAGAAAAATTTGGTAAGACAGACTATGAGAAACAATGTCCTAAAGCATTAATAAGATTCAGATAACAATCCACTCAGTCAGGTTACCCGATTTTTTTTACCGTATGTTGCAGTTTAGCTATAAGAATCGTGGGCTTTTATGGCTGGAATATAAACTATTAGAATAATATTTAAGCTTTCCCATTTTGCAGATAGCTTAAATAATCCCACAGTGATAAATAAAAAGTTAGGGTGGTAGCAAGGGTAGTAGCAGCGGTAAATGTGTATGGAGTGCTTGCTATGTGTCAGGCACTGACAAGGCAATTATTGTCATCATTCCCTTTTATCAAATGAGGAAAATAAGGGTAATAAGTGGTTAAAAGAACATTTGAACCTAGACCTGAATCTTAAGCCCATGTTTAACCACTATGCGTACTGAAAACAAACAAACAAACAAACAAAAAAAAAAAAAAAAACAGAAAGCCAGACCCAAGCTGAGTGGTGTCCTTAGGAAATTAAAATATAAGCTAGACCATAATAGCTGGGATTTGTGGGATATCTTTTGTCTCAGGAGTTTAGGGAAAGAGATGTATTTCTGGCATAACATATTTTTCCATAGAAATCTTATCATATAGCATGGGTGGATTCATGTACTCAACAAACGTTAGAGCACCTCCTATGACCCATAAGACTCCCAGAAACTTCTAGACTTCATGATAAACTATGAGTTAAATGGGCATTTACCAGCTACCCACCACATTTAGTATATTTTTTATCAGAAAATTCATGCAAGTTCCAAATACCAAAACCAACCAAACCCACTGCTGTTGAGTCAATCCCAACTCATAGCAACCCCTCCTTGGGTTTCCAAGGTGGTATTTCTACAGAAGTAGATTGCCCAACCTTCCTTCCAAGGAGCAGCTGATGGGTTTGAACCACCAGTCTTCCAGTTAGCAGTCAAATGCCTTAGACACTAAGCCACAAATAGTCAACCTAAAAATAAACATTAAGAGTGCAGCTTACTCATAGTTGGGAGCTCTGGTGGCATAGTGCTTAAGGCATTTGACTGCGAACAAGAAGGCTGATAGTTCATACTCACCAGCTGCTCCTCGGAAGGAAGGTTGGGCAGTCTACTTCCGTAGTGATACCACCTCGGAAACACAAGGGGGGGTTGCTATGAGTCAGGTCCAACTCCATGGCATTGTGTTTGGTTTTTTGGTTTACTCGTAGTTGGTTGCTACCCGCCTAGATCTTAATGGAGAAGAATTAGTAAAAGAGCATTCCTAATATGACTGATTAAATTTTAATATATGCATGTTGGTGTGCAGCCTATAGGCACACATATGAGAGTTTTCAAGTTCTGGATCTCCAAACTTCAAGAGATTAATGAAATTGCTTATGAATGTGGTTAGTGGAGAAGAAAGTCAATTTACATAAAAATATAATCATATTCATTATAAAAGGGTGACTTTATGATTTATACAACTTATATTTACAAACTCTGGCTCTAATGCAAGTTTTAAAATTAATCTTTCATGAGTGATACTAGATGAGATCTGCCAAGAATGCAACATTTTCAGTTGTACTTCATTAAAAGTGATAGGAAAGAAAGTGGGTGGTGTGTGTGTTTATCAAGATGTTAGCATACTTCCTATGTTAATATTCACATGAGGAAATCAAGCAGACATACTAAATATTGCTGATAAATTGCAGGGAATGTTAGCAGAGACATTTATTACCAACTTGTAAAATTCTGGAAGATAATTCTAGTCTGGTGCCATGTTTCTGTGGGGCTGCCGGTTTTAAGTGTCGAGGCAGAGTGAGAGATACTTACCTTGGCAACAGTTCTAAAGTAGCATTTTCTTTGTCAAACTCTTCATTTCATCCATAGGGATGTCTCATTGGGAGGAGAGTAGAGGGAATATCCATGGTCCACATCACAGTGGGTGTTAGAATGGTTTTATATATTCCTAATTGTTCAGAAACTCAAGCCAGAACAGTTTGAAATGGTTGTGGGGGTGTCAGGTTTATCATTAGATAATGGGCTTCTGCACAGCTCCTAGTCTGATGATATCTTCTCTAGTGCCTTCATTTCTTCCTTTCTCTACCCTGCAGAGTCCTCAAATGCTACTTTGCTGACCAATGCAGAGAAGATCGCCACCATCACCACCACACATACCCCTTCTCAACAAGGGGCCCAGGACACAAGGTCAGATGTGGGTCCGGTTCTTTTCATTGGGTTCAAATAGCTTCAGAGTAGCTGCTGGCATGTTGATGCCTGTCCTTGATTCATTCTCACTTTCCCCATGGGTTACTCTTTATATTTCTTTTTCTCACTTTGGCAGGAACACCACCAAGCCAAAGCAGGAATCTCAATTTGAGTTCAAAGCATCGCAGGCAACACAGGTGAGGGCTGCTTCTCTTTGTCTCTCTGTTAACATATTCCCTTCTAACTTTCTGAAGCTTTTATTTTTACAAGATAAATTTTTTTAAAGGCACCCTCTATTAAAAGAAATAACCTTTTGTGAAGTGATTGCCAAATATGTACTCACATTTGGTTGGCTAGGAAATGACATTTTACATTATTATCTATGAAAAATATTCCTAGATTCTCTTCTGGGGGAAAAACAAACAAACAAAATAAAAAATTGTAACTGTCGTGAGGATTGGTGATCAGAGAAAGAGCAAAACTACTCGTAAAACTCATAAGCATACTTATGCCAAGAAAATGTATTTTTGGTAAGATGTTTCTTAGTCTTGTGATTTCAAGTGAAACCTGTATAGCTAAAGGCTTGTCCTTCAGGATGGTAATAGATGGTCTTCAAACAATAGCAAGTAAAACAAATTTGGGAAACATTGGGTGAGTCAGAGTTAAGTAGATTTTTTTATTGCTCTTTTTCTAACAGCCATTACTATACATTCATGATTCTCAACCAGGAGGGAAACCCCTCCCTTGATAGATGGAGGTAACATGTGATTGTTAATATTATAATGATAGGCACTGTATTTATCAGACATGAAGCCAGGAGGCTGCGCAGCAGTCGGGATGTTGGGATGGTATCATGTAATGAAGAACTATCTTGCTCCAAATGCCAGGTTTATCCTCACTGAGAATCACCTAGAGGGAAAGAAACTCTGTCACGTTGCCAACTCAGCATAATAGAAAATATTTGGGGGAGAGATGGAGAAAAATGTGTTTGAATATGACTTCTCCCAGCATGATTCCATTTACTTTCTTTAAATAGGAGCAAGATTTTTACACTGTGGAATTGGAAAGAGGAGCCAAGGGATTTGGCTTTAGTCTTCGAGGGGGCCGAGAGTATAACATGGACCTCTATGTTCTGCGCTTAGCAGAGGATGGTCCTGCAGAAAGGTGTGGAAAGATGAGGGTAAGTAGGAAGAGGAGTCTGCATTAGATGTAAATAAATCAACTTCTGGGACTTCTTGATATATATGGCTAGAGCCTATGATATGAGTTCATGAGAATTACATTTGCTATAGTTTTCAAACTACTCTTAATGCATGACTCCACTCTAGTGTATATTTCTCACCTAAAGCATAGTCAATTGTAGCTGCTGAAGTGCTCTTGCACTTCTTTGGGATTGAATGAAAGATTAAACTCATTTGTAAACTTGTTAAAGTAGGTATTTTCTGAATCCCATTTCCTTGGCACTTGTGCTTAGCCTGAGGCAGGCACATCATTCACAGGATTTCTAGTGTATCCCAGGAGGGTTACCAATTAGACCTGCTGCCATCGAGTCAGTTCTGACTCACGGCAACCTCACGTGTGTCTGAGTACAACTATGCTGTATAAGGTTTTCAGTGGCTGATTCTTTTTTTGGAAATAGACCATCAGGCCCTTACTCTGAGATGCTTCTGGGTGGAACCTCCAACCTTTTTGTTAGCAACCAAGTGTGTTAACCATTTGCAACACTCAGAAACATGACCCTATAGATTCTGAGTGCTGAGCTCTATCCATTCTAGAACTAGTCACCAGCTATCCTAACCTAGGCTCAGAGACAAGTGAGTCAACTGTTTGCCTTAGCAAAAGGCCAGTGACCCAATGGCATGAATAGGCAAGGTAGTAGTTAAAGTTACAGATTTTAAATACACAGATACCAAAAGTCCACTCTGTTCTATTTAGATGTCTAATCTCTGTTACTGTATATGAATATTTCTCTCTTGTGGGAAGATTGGATGATTAAGGAAAAAATAAATCATCTATTCATTATACATGGGTCACATAGGTTAAAACGTAGACCTAGACAAAATGAGAAGAATTAAAAGAAATCAAGACAGGTTAGGAAAGGAAGAAAGTGAATGAAATTAGGCCTGAGAGTCAAGAGGGGGAAAAAAAAAGAATCAAAAGGGTGAGGTGAAGACCTTAAGTATTTGTACTTAAGGCATAATCTTGATTTTTAAATTTCTTCTGAAATTTTAAACTAGTTTTGGTTTTTTAATTGAGAAAGTAGATAATTAATGTGGTTTTAAAAAATAAAATCAGTGAAAAATAATACATATGAAAAATATAGTTTCCAAGGTGAAATGATGTTTTAGTTTCTTGTATACCCTTCCTGAAATACTTTGTGCCTACGCAATGAAAGATACACAATGGTATAAATTTCTTTTCTTTAAATTTCAAACACGTGGGATATGCTTTACTTTCCCTTTTAATCATTTTATAAAATTTTGATTCAAGGAATAATATTTTGTTTAAACTATAATTTACAAGTAGCATAGTGCCTAAGGCACTTGACTGCTAACCAGAAGGCTGGTGGTTCAAACCCACCAGCCACTCCTCGGAAGGAAGGTTGGGCAATCTATTTCCATAGTGATACTGCCTCAGAAACCCAAGGAGGGGTTGCTATGAGTCAAGTCTGACTTGACAGTCCATAACAACAACAACATAATTTACAAGACATATTTATATATATATATAGTCAGATTGGATCCCTACATCTCAGTAGGCATTGTATTATTATCATCCCCTTATATAAATGAGGGAATAAATTCCAAGAAAATAAAGGACTTGATCAAGATCATCTAACTAACAAGTAGTAAGACTCAAATTCAAGACTTTTGACTCCAAAGCTGGCACTTTTTCTTTTTTGCCTTCTGGAATATAAGCTCCATGAGAGCAAGGACCTGACCTGTCTTGCTCACTGCTTTATCTCTGTTGCCTAGAACAGTGACTAAATTCTGTAGTCTGTTAGCTAGGGCCTCATCTGATGGTTCAACTGAGGAAGGATTTGTTTCCAAGCTACCTCACATGGTAGTTGGCAGGATTCAGTGCCTCTTAGGCTGTTAGTTGGAGCCCTCCCCCTTTTCTTTATCCTGGCCCTCCATAGAGCATCTCACAGGTAATTTCCACCAGAATAAAAAAGGCAGAAGGCAAAAGATGGCAAGTAGGACAGAAACCGACATAATTTTATAACTTCATTCTGAACTAACATCTCATCATGCTTGCCACATTTGACTTAGAAACAAGTCACTAGGTCCATCACATGTATAAAGGTATGGGATTTTATGAGTCCATGAATTAAAGCAGTCAGGTATCATTGAGAGTCATCTTAGAAGCTGCTTACCACATCCTCCTTCCCTCAAGAATTAATATTCCCCTTTACTGCTTTATTTTTATCTCTTATTTTTGTCACTATCTACATGTGTTTTTCTTGTCAGTTGTCTTTCTCCCATTAGAATTTAGTCTTCATTATGGTAGAGATATTTGCTTTTGGTTTTGTTTTCTTTGATTGAGTATCCTAAGCATTAAAAGATTTTCTGGAACATAATAGATGCTCAATAAATATTTGTTGAGTCAGTAAATGAAGGAACTTTAAATCTTGAATTACCTCAAGAGCTGGTGAAACCTTTTGTGAGCTTCTCACTTTGTTGTGTCTTGCTTTGGTAGATTGGTGATGAAATTTTGGAAATTAACGGAGAAACCACCAAAAACATGAAGCATTCTCGGGCTATAGAACTGATTAAGAATGGTGGCCGCAGAGTGCGTCTGTTTCTGAAGCGGGGAGACGGCTCAGTACCAGAATATGGTGGGTCAAACTATGAAAACATTCCTTCCTTCCCTGGCATGACTCCATGAATTTGTCTCCAGAACGGCAGCAGGAAATTATTTTTGTTTCCCCTATTCACCAGTGTCTTACCAGCTTTTTGCACCATGTGATTATTTGCCTCGCTTGTTCTGAAATCTCTACACATTTCATCCTTTTGCTTGCTTACGTGGACTGGGGCATGACCTAAGACAAGATCTTTATAGCCCCCTTTCTGATAATCAGAGAGAACATTTTGTCTAGTCCGACCAAGAGCGAAGGAATGTTTGTTTGAACTGTGCCAAACTGTTTCTCAGATCCAATTGTTAGCACAAAATGACTATACTCCTTTTAAGAAGCAGGAAAGCAGGTTTCCTGAGTGATATGTTGAGGCACAAATTTTTAATTTCTTTTTTTGTTACTTAATGTTGTTATTTAAGAGGCGTGAAATTTTGAGATGATTTGGGGGCTTTGCTCACCTCCTTTATGCTCTGTATACAAGTCTTTTCCATCCTCCCCCACCACCACCACCTGGTCCCTTACCCCAAATCAGATCACCTGGGCCCACTACTAAAAAACAAACAAAACAAATCTGTTGATATTTAGCCATATGTTTTTAAATGATAAAGGATGAAATAGATTCCCAGTGCTCATCCTGAGGGAAACATGTTACTATACCTTTCCTATGAGGAAAGCCAGGTTATACTTAGAGTTTCTTTGTCCTATCTATAGACATGATTTATGTAGACAACAGTGATCTTTACATAGCTTAGTGTTCTGATGGGAAAATATTGTATATTATAATAATTATGTCCTATTTATTTGAAATTCTTGTTTAAAGTGAAAAAAAAAAAAATTATGCCCTAGATGTAGGGCTTTTTTTCCCAACCAAAGGTCTACAAAAGTTTCTATAGAAACTGTGATTGAATGGTCCCCATATATGTTGGTCCCCTTTATTAGGGATTTATCTGTTACCACCCTCTTTTCTGAAAGTCATCCTGCACAATTCCCAGTTGCATTTTTGGACTTGATGGGATGCTTCATTCAGAAGCAGCTTAAGAAAAAAGACAGCTCCTTGGAAGGGCAGCCTTCCCAGGTGTTGGACATACGTACAGATGCAAAGTACAAGGGCTCCAAGGTGGGACCGGGGTGTCAGCTGAGGCCCCTTTAGACATGGACTACCACTGTGGAAATACTTTTGACAACATTTAAGATGCCACGACTATGCACTGTACTAAACCTCTGACTGATAGGTGTGTTGATGCCACTGAAACTGTGTAACATTGTCTCCCTTTTCTGTCTTCCCTATGCTTCTGTTGGATGTATTATTTCATTTGAGAGTCATTGTCAGTAACCTGTGTACCTTCTCAAAACCTATGTCTGTTGCACTGAGGATGAAAATCCAACACTAACAAATGTTCTTTGGGCTAAAAATAAAGATCATTTAATAAATCCATGGTTTCCCAAGAAGGGTTGAACATACCAGGGTTGTGCTGCTGTAATGTTTCCATGTATCATTTGGACGAAATCTCTCTAATTCTACTGATTAGAGTTCACAAATGGGTTATAATATGTTAAGTTCCAATATTTTTCTGACTTGATTGGAACCTGCTTCTCTGTGAGGCTATTTTTGTAATAAGTTTTTTGTACTTAATTTAACTGCCGCGGTCTTTTGGGGGGAGGGAGGGAACTTTGGTCTTTTGTTGTTTATTGTTAATGCTCTCCTATGCCAGCCTGTCATTGTTCCAGTTGTTTGAAAAAAAAAAAAAAAAGATGCATCCATTGTCTGGGTTCTCAAGTCACTGATGGCTGTCTAAAAACATCATTGTTCTGACTGCAGTCTCTGCAGCCTTATTTGAGTGTTGCCTTAGACTGTCTGACTGGACAAATAAACTCTCTTTGCCCTATGTTAACAAATGCAGATTTTTTTTTTTTTTTCTTTCTTCCTTGTTATAGGGAATCTAAATGTTCAACTTTTTCTCTTTCTCTCTTTCTCTTTCTCTCTGACTGTTCTTGGTGCTGGGCCCTCCCTTCCACAGCGATGATCCCTCCTAATATCGCTGCATGTATGAGAAATGAAAAGCACGGGGAGGCTTGCTTCTACCTTATGGGCCATAATCAAACTACGGTTTGTAGCTCAATCAATACTAGGTGTTTCTGTGCTGTGGCCTAATTTCCTCATTGCTTCTGCTTAGCTCTATTTTGATATATTTGGCAATTCATTCTGAGCACCCTGCCTTCTTTGAATTGTAAGTACACTGCTCACCCTATTAAATGTCTTGCTCCCCCTTGTCTTAAAAGTAGGTGTAAAGAACACCAAAGTTAGGTTTATAATAGGATCTAACAGTGATCTTCCCTCCCTTAAATCTTAAGATGACTTTTCTAAGAGTCTGTTTGTGTTCATTCTAGTAGCCCACCCAGTATTTAGAAAGAAAGACCCTCAGATCACAGAACTCTCACCTAGGTTGATAGGGCTTTGCTAAACAGAAAGATGGGATTTCCTGGTTTGTCAGATAATCTGTTTGCAAGCTGTAGTACATGGGCCGTATCGTGTCACAGCCTGTTTTTGTAAGTAAAGTTTTATTGTCACACAGCTATACCCATTTCTTTATGTATCATCTATAGCTGCATCCCTCCAATGGCAGAGTTGAGTAGTTGAGACAGATTATGTCCCACAGAGCCTAAAATATTTATTATATGGCCCTTTATGAAAAAGTTTACCAGTCCCCACTGTAAGATATAGTCCTGCTTTTGTTAGAACCCATTCTATCAAAAACCAAACTCACTGCCGTCGAGTTGGATCCAACTCATATGACCCCTCCTTGGATTTCTAAGGCGGTATCACTATGGAAGTAGATCACACAACCTTCTTTCCAAAGAGTGGCTGATGGATCTGAACTGCCAGCCTTCTGGTTAGCAGTTAAATGCCTAGGCACTATACCACCAGAGCTCCCATCCTAAGTGTTGAGAAATCATTCATGAAACAGATTGTTTAAACTTGACCTTGTCACCTCATGAAAAATTCTTAGACACTACCCACGAATCCCTCATCTCTGACTGTTGCACTGGGACCCTCCAAATGGCAATGATCATTTCAGGGTCCCTTTCCTGGAATAGTATAATGTGTGTGACTTGAGTTTAATTGCAGCAAAGCATTCCTACTTTGAAAAGAGCTCTCCCAAACTCAGGATGCCACATGAAATATTTCCAGTGTTATATCAAATAGTTTAGTAATCATAAATAGGAACCCCATGGCATGGACTGCCCTGCTTTTAAATCTGTAAGTATCTTGATGGTATAAGAAGCAGTCCAGTAACTCTATAACTTGTATTTGTAAATACGGCTGCCTTGCATATCATAAAGAAAAGTACTGTTAAAGATTGTCCTGACAGCCTCTCTTCCCCTCCTTCATAACTATTAGAAGTCTCCAAATAATGATAATAATAATAAAAACAGTTCTTTGTTTTTAAAGCTACGTAAAAGTAGAGAGAAATCATTTAATGAATCCTCATGTGCATGGCACTTAATCTGGGTAACATATTGCCATTGTAACCTTTGACTCACCACACTGGATAATTTTTTTAAACAAAGTATACTTTACATTCAGTGAAATATATAAATCCTGAATACAGAATAATTAATTATTTAACTATGTATGCACCCATTTATATAGATATGGTACTTCTCAGATCAAGGTATAGATTATTTCCATAGCTCTAGAAAATTCCCTTATACCCCTTCATGTCAATACCCCAGATTATTTTTCAAGAAAATCCAAACAATTGTTCTTTAAAGGGAAGATTATTTTCTTTAGTAAAGTTGGAGAAAGGGGTTAGGTAGGGGAAGGAGGGTTGGGGAGGGGGAGAGCAAAAAACAGTTAAGGTGGGAAGTTTTGATACTTCTAGATAGATTATTTGGGTTGTGTTTTGAAAGAGTAAAATTATGACTGACTTTGATTTCTTTAATGACCCATGTCTTAAGTATAGCAAATAGGCTAAGTGCTGAAAGCCATAGTACTAGTTTATAACCCTAACTAGTTGCAGTTCTTATATTAACCAAGCTTCCGTTGGCTTCGGTTCTGACTGCTTTAACAGCTATTTGTTTGTTGTGACTAATGGGCTCTCTCATGTGGGATTGGTGGCAGGAGCTGATGGTCCTTCATACCAAACTGTGATTCTCATTTATTTTCCTTGCAGACCCCAGCAGCGACCAGCACGGCACCCCCACCAGTCCACAAGGTGTTCCGGAAATGAGAGCTGGGCCATCTAACCGCCGGCAGCATCCATCATTGGAGTCCAGTTACCCACCCGATCTTCACAAATCATTGCAACATGGGGAAAAGCGGGCATATGTGAAAGACCCAAAAGGCAGCAGAGAACACAGCAGACAGCCCAATGAACACCACACGTGGAATGGAACTTCTAAGAAACCCGACACGGGGGCATGCCGACCCAAGGACCGGGCACCAGAGGGAAGAAGAGAAACACCGCCTGAGAGGATGGTGGCCAATGGACCCAAGCGGAAGTCTCCAGAGAAGTGGAGGGAAGGCACCCGGAGTGCTGACAATACTTTGGAAAGGAGGGAGAAGCATGAGAAAAGAAGAGAAGTTTCCCCTGAGAGGAGGCGAGAACGGTCACCGACTCGCCGAAGAGACGGTTCGCCCAGCCATCGGAGGAGGTCTCTTGAAAGACTCTTGGATCAAAGGAGATCTCCAGAACATAGGAGAGTGGGGTCGCCTGAAAGAAGAGCAAAATCTACTGACCGGAGGCGAGCAAAGTCTCCCGAGAGAAGGAGAGAGCGGTCACTTGAGAAAAGGAACAGAGAGGACAAAGTCAGCCACCGAGAGAGGGAAGAGGCAAGTCTGAAACAAGATGCTAGCAAAAGTTCCAGACATCCTCCAGAGCAGAGACGGCGACCTTACAAAGAATGTAGCACCGACCTCAGTATCTGAGACTCTGAGTCACATTCCAACCTTTACTGTGTCAAAGGTTTTAAGAGGAAGGTCACAAACCTAAAATAATTTAGTTTCTAACCTGATGAAGCATCTGACACCTGAGGATCCTATGAATAGCAGCAAACATTTTATGCATTTGAAATCTTATAAGAAAAAAAAATATATATATGAAAAGTGTTGTGCCTGATGTATAATATTAAAGAAAGTATTTTTAAATGCATACTTTTTTTGCAAATTATTTGCCAAATGCTAGCCCAAAGGGGATATAAATTTTCTTTCTACATAAACTGTAGAATTGTCAAGAATTGTTCCCTTTTTTTTTTGGGCAATCTTTTCCTCTCCTAGTTAAATAGGGCTGTTCGTAATTTTCTCTTAGCAAGGGAAGTTGTTTATTAAGTTTAATTTGACATAGACTTAAAAAATGTAGTGTTTTAGTGCTTATACTATAGTTAGGAGATTTTCTTAAAAGAGCAAAAAGGCAAAGTTATATTGGTAAAAGCTGAGGACTCTCTGAGATGGATTAGGATTGCTGATCATAAAATTAAGCAAACTATTTGATAAGACTACTATTACGAATGAAGGATATTTATAGAAAAACTACACAGCACAAAGAAATTTTATGTTTTCAACTCCTTGTTGATTCAGAAAACAATTTGTACTCTCCCTGGCCCTAGAAAGGCATAGAGGCAAGAAAGCTGGCCACCATCACCCAAATGGAGCCCAAGCACAGATGGTCAGGCTCATTGGCATCACCACCCTAAGTAAGATCTCATTAAGGCAGTGCCATCATAGCTTTGGTCAACTACTGGAAGGAATGGAGAAAAAATCTCTTCTGTGTTGTCTTATGCTAAATAGTTGGTGGAATAGGGGTCAACCAGAGGCATAAAAATCTCCAGTTCAGAAGGTATGCTCCTCCTGTTTAGCATAAGCCAGTGATTGTACTTTGTCAAATTGGGGGTGAGGGAATGATCCTTGGTTGAAGGAACCTCTTTTGATGTTTAAAGAAGTGAGGGCTGGAGGTGCTCATTCTTCAAAATACTGATTTCACTTTGAAATCATAAGGAAAGTCTCCAGGATAATTGATGGGGAAGGAAGTGATCCCAATGATTCTAAATCTGGTTGGGAAACCTCAGTCATTATGACCCTGTCCTTTGCATCTTTGGACAGAAGAACAAAACATAAAGAGTTTTCTTTGTATTCAATGACCCATTCTTTTGGGATCCCACAGGAGGTATGATTGGGTCTGCTGTAGCCCCTGGATGTGGTTTAAATGGATTACTGCCTAGCTGAGCCAAAACGTTTGCTTATACCTGTTGGACAACTATAGCAAACTGCTGCTGCTTACAGTGCATTGTGTATTTCTGTAGTACTGTTTTGCATTTTCCATACAAACACAAAGCTTTGCAAGTCAATCACTGTTGTTCCCATGGTACTGTAAAAAAAAAAAAAAAGAAAAGAAAACCAGCCAATCATTGTGTGTACAAAGTTAAAAATTGTAATTAATAGAGCCTGTTGAAAAAACAACTGTTGCCTTTTTTTCTTGTATAAAAGAGAATTTATGACAAAAATTTAGCTGTGAGGAATGTGCTATGTGTTTATATTTCTGAATATGGAACAAATTGATTCATGGGTATATATTTTAATGTAAACTAAATCAGGTATGTAAAGCTGTTTTAAAATGGGAGACTATATAAGTAATTCTCTAGAGCTTTAGTTGGTTTGAGTATCATCATTTCCTCCATGGTAAACTTGCTCGTGACTTACTAAGCACCGTTTGCATTTTCTGTTTTTCACTCATGATTTCTTGCAGTGAGCTGTGGACTTGATGCTCTTTCTGTGTTGATGAAAAGCAGTATGTGGGCCAATCTTTCTGTAAAACACTATGCATATATAAATATTACATTGTTCATAGCTTTATTTGACTTATGGGTTTATCCATAACATTAGAATGAGTAGCTATAGTTGTGTGGACATTCACAAAAGAAGTTCCTTATCTGGAACAGACACTATGTACATTCTATAGCTAAAAAGGAGGAAAAAGTCTGTGAATGCTATTTTTATTATCAAATAAAAGTTTTCCATATAAAATAACATTGAGCTGTAGTAGTACGGTTCAGGAAGAATACAACTGAATAATGATATTCTTTTCTATCAATTGCCTAAGAGCCAACTTAGAGATTTTATTCCTAAGCCTCCATTACAAGGATTCTTCTATTTCTAGCAAAATCTGTGATGTTAAATGACTGATGCTGCCAATTGTGGTCCCTATTTTTAAACAAATGAAATCAAAGTGAATTTTGGAGAACATTCTGAAGCTGACATCTCGATATCTGTTGTTGTGAGAGATGATAGTTGACATTTTAAAATCCATGTGCTGCCCACCTAGGCTTGTCTCAGTCTATGAAGACTTTTGCTGTGGCAATTTTGCCTGAATTCCACACTTCAGATTTGCGTTGGAAATAGTTGTTCTGTACAGGGACTATGCATTAAGCAGAAAGAGATAGTTTTCTCAGAACTACTGTAACCTTAAATTGGAGACTGATTCTGGTGAACCTACTTTCCCTAACCCCCACTTCATGTAAATGTCTTGAGAGATGAGGGATGAGTATTTTGTATGATGAAATCAAATCATTTAGGATTTAGGAATTCCCCTCTCCCCATTACTCAGTTGATGCCTGAAAGAATGTTGGGGGGAGAACTCAATACCCTACTTGTATTTTTTAAGTTTCTTTTGTGAAAGATTTTTTAATGCATTTTTACTGTAAAAATACATGGAAATGTATGCATTCCATAACCACTGTTGCTTCTGGACTTATATCTTTCTTGTCTCCATTGTCGTGTCAAATGTGTCAGGGTCAAATAATCAATTAAATGTTCCTGACTCCTACTAGAAATATCACACCATTGTGCTGAAAAAGAAGGAGGTTGACATTTGGCTTTGCAGTAGTATGCCACTGCTGTGGAGTCCATTCTGACTCATGGTAACCCTATAGGACAGAGTAAACTGCACCATAGGGTTTCCAAGGCTGTGAATCTTTACAGAAGCAGACTGCTTCATCTTTTGAACGTCTGACTTTTTACCTATCATTTGAGCCCTTAATGCTGCACTACCAGGGCTCCTTGAAGTAATACCCTCCTCAGAGTGTGGTTTGTGAACCAGCTGATTCAACATCACTGGGGAGCTTGTTAAAAATGCAAATCTCAGGCCCCACTCCAGACCTACTGAACCAGAATATGCATTTAACAAGATCCCCAGGTAATTCTTAATGCACATGAAAGTTTGAGAGACTTGATATAATAATATAGAACTCTGGTACTAAAGCAAAGCTCTGGTGGTGTAGTGCCTAAGGCATTTGACTGCTAATCAGAGGCTGGTGGTTCAAATCCACCAGCCACTCCTTGGAAGGAAGATTGGGCAATCTACTTCTGTAGTGATATTGCCTGGGAAACCCAAGAAGGCGTTGCTATATGTCATATCTGACTCGAGTTGGGTTTGTTTTTTTGTTTTTTTTTCTTTTGCCAAACCAAGAGCTTCATCACTTACTACATGTAATTTTGGACAATTTCCTTAACTTCTATTTATGCTTCAGTTTCCTTATCTGTTAAGGGGCTTACCTCTTATGGTTGGTAAGAATAAATGCAAAATGCTTAGCACCCTTGTGGCAATCAGAAAAGTGCACAATAAATGACCAAAACTCTTTTGAAGGAAGATTTTTTGCATGGCGATGGGTAGTCTGCTTTTTTCGTTGTCTTATTTTCCAATCCAAATGAAGAAAACACTTTCTCACTTCATTAAGATGGGAAGAAAGCCACCTGTTGTAATTTTAAAATTGGCAAGCAGTGTACTTCATGCTACTTCGTAAATATAATTACACTTACCAGTGTTGTGAAATATGAAACTAAAATGCTGTCCTATGACAGTTGAGACAAAAATAATCTCAAAGCATAATTTTTTGGGGTAGATAAGTATATGGAATTAGACATAGTCCAAAGTCTCCAAAGTCATACTGGATAAAAAGGTGAACCAGTTAGTGATTTAATATATGTTTGTGTTGATCCTATAGTTTCTTAAGATGTTCAGATTCTGCTCACACAGCTTTGGATTTTAGTATTTCTTAGTGGTAGGCTCTGGTAGCACAGTGCCTAAGGCATTTGGCTGCTAACTGGAAGGCTGGCACTTCAAACTAATCAGCCATTCCTTGGAAGGAAGATTGGGTGATCTACTTCTGGAGAGAGAGCGCCTCGGAAACCCAAGGAAGGGTCGTTATGAGTCGGATCTGACTCCATGGCAGTGTGTTTAGTTTTTTGCTTTTAGGGTTTTCCTACAGAATCTCTAAACTCTTATACACTCAAAAGTATATTGTGTTTTATCGTAGGGCTTCCTATAAGCCACCTCTTTTGCTGTATTTTATTTTGTCACCGTGATAATTATAGACACTGCTCACTTCCCTAGTGTCTCTTTGTGAAAGGTGGTACCTACAAATGGTCCCTGGCTCAACCAACTGCTGACACTTGTATTACACAAGTTCTTTGCCTACCATAAATAGCCACACTAAAAACAATGTGAGGAGACTCAATTATATCAGTCAGGACTTTCCTGCTGGTCGGCAATCGGAGACATCTTTGAGGGTCTGCATTAATCCGGAGAAGAACAGCTCAAGTTCCTCCAGGTGATTTTCTTATAATCAAGCAGCCATCCACATCATGGGTGTTCACAGTTCCTAGTGCTTTTGGAATATACATCATTACAAGAAAGGAGTCTACAAAGGTGGGCCTTAGCCAGCACAGTATTTTGGGGTGATTTTGCAGGGGTAGGTGTTTTGTGAAAAAGTGTTGACCACTTCCACTTTAGGTGTCTGGTGTGGCCATGTCTATGTGTTACAGTCATTGTCAGGGGTGGGGGTAGTGCGATTTAAGTAAATTTGGTGATAGATGGAGCCAAAGAAAGTCTATTTGAGAAAGCATAGATTTAAGCAAGATTGTGCCAACCGATTCAT